GCGTGGCCATATTTACCTCCGTGGGATTGATTTCAGTATTCAGAAAATCCGCGATTAACTCGGTCATCCTATCGCAGCTTTTATTAGCAAAGATAAAAGTGGAAAACTGGAATCGCTTGACGTGTTGGGTAACATCAAATTGTGTCAAAAACTTTGTTTGTTTCTCTCATTTCTTGAAAGGATTTTCCTACACATTGTGGACAGTACGATCCAATGCAGCTGGAACAGGTTACTCCAATGTTACGGAGTTTACTGCAAGTGTCTGCGCAACATAGGCGACGAACCATTGGAATGCTGGTGGTCCCATTATGGTTTGCATCAAAGCCTATCTGAGCGCCCACCTTGATGAGTGCTTTTGAGCCAGGGGTGACGCACAAACGCGTTAACACACCCAAACCATTTGAGAGTTGTTCAAGCGGTCGAGACAGATGGAGGTCGTAACGCGCAGACTGTCGGTTCAGCGCTCAATCGACTTGCAGTTGAACCAACACACCCACAAAAGCGACAGAGTGTGTTGATCGGCCTGCCTTAAGTGACGTTGCAGGTGGAGCGCTGATAAACATCCCTAGAGCTGCTAAGTTGATGAGCGGAACAAAATGACGGTAACTTTCTTATGCTGCAACTTGCAGGGATGGTTGCCGCGTAGTTTGGGAGCCCTCAGCTTCTATTTCCGAATGAGACCGAAATCTTTCACGAAAAGCTCCGGTATGATTAGTTACACATGTAGAACTCGGCAAAGAACATTGATAAAAAATGGAAACGAGCAAGAGCATAATCCACACAGGTTAGATCCAAGAGTTGGGAAGCACTGAGTAGAGCTCGTCGAACTGGTTCGAATGAGCGCACACACAATATTGTGGGGGGGGGGGAAATTAAAGTGGTCACAGAGGGCAAAACGGGAGCCGAGTTAAAGTGCGGCCGTACGGCAAGTATCTTGGATTCTATTCGGTGGATAGACGGGTACTTTGGGATTGTCTACTCAAGAAAGGTGTACCTGAGCAATATGTACATATTATCCCAGCATTATACGTGCGTAGCTCAGGCAGTGAGGGCTAACGACAAGTTGTCGTCGCTCTTTAATATCTCCAGCGGTGTGAGACCAGGATGCACGCTGTCACCTTCCCTCTTCAACTTTGCTATTGACGAAGTCATGAAAATAGCGTTCATAGGACACGACTTAGAAAGTGTGGATTTGCTCCCAGGAGAACGACTGCTTGACCTAGAGTATGCTGATCATATTGCCCTAATCTGTAACAGTTCTCAAACGTGCCAAGCGGCACTGGACAGATTAACACTGGCTGTCCGTCACTTAGAGCTTTGCTTCGCACCCTCGAAGTGCAAAGCATTCCTTCAACATTGGCCTGAACCGCGATCTACGCTGAACCTTGGTGTGGATCAGGTGGAAGTCGTTCAAAAATTCAACTACCTGGGAAGTTGTATCAGCGCCCGTGGGAGTGAAGATGAGATCACGAACCGCATAGCAAAAGCTCGGGGCACTTTTGCTCACCTTCGCCACTTATGGTGGCGGCGCGACAACACTCTCACCCTGAAGGGTAGAGTGTACAATGCAACGGTACGTTCGACTCTACTGTACGGTTGTGAAACCTGGCCCCTTAAAGCAATGGACCCGAAAAGGCTAGTTAGCTTCGACCACCGGTGCCTTCGCAGTCGGGCTCATATCTGGTGGGTACACCGAGTAACCAACGAGCATGTTTGACGCCTCGTTACGGCACAGAAAAAGGAAATGAACTGCTCTGCACAGTTATTTCACGCACCAGGCTCCGATGCCTCGGCCACGTATTGCGCATGCCAGCCCAACAACTCCCGCGACGTGCGTTGTCTGCGAGCCGGGGGTGTGGATGGAAAAAGAGGAGGGGTGGCCAAGCGGTAACTTGGTCGAGAGGAAAGAATGCTCTCACTTCGAAGGTGGTTTCGGTTGGAGTATATCGGCTCTCTGGTTAGGGTCCGAAGACGATGAACACGTTTGGCAGGATACACTTGCTGATATGGCTAGGAGCCGACCTGCGTGGGGTTCATTCTATGAGTTCTTTAGTCCCACCCCATCCCACTTAGCTTACCACTACAACAACGATCTCACTATTTAGCCTTATATAATTTTGCATAGTAAATTTTCTGCTGCATAGTAGGAGTCCGGTACCTTACCGGAACAATGCCCATCCGTTAGCGGTAGCTCAGCTGGCTTGCACCTGTTGCATTTGTTCTATTTTGCTTTTATGTATTGCGGCACAGTAGCTGAAGTGTTTCCCACCTCTAGCTAACGTGTATAATGAGGATGAGGATATCATTTGTATTGTAACCCGCTAAGAAAAACAAAATGCTTAGTTTAACTAAAGCCTACAAAAAACATTTATTCAGAAGAGCATGACCAGCAATTTAAAAATTATAACATGAATCGTCTTGACCGGATATCTGTGGAAAGTGACACCGTTGTATAGTTTTGCTGAGAGAACAATCCAACATCAGTTTTACATTATTTTGAGCTGTTACTCCAGCGACTTTTGCAGTAACGTAGTTCAATTTGGACAAGAAATTTTTGCCTAGACCATACAAATTAGGAAGTTGTTTGAGGAATAATGCATAGTATTGCGTGTGCAGGATACTGTCAAGTTGCCCCCGCCTAAACAGGAGAACGAGTAAGGTTCCCAACCAAAGCCTTTGGTTCAAAAAATACTGATCGCAAGACAGCAGGTTTGGCGCTGGACTACAAATAGTCCTTTTAAACGATTAAGGAGTCACTCTCATTCCAACCCCATCCTGGAGGGCCAGGAGACTGAGTTTGTCTGGCCACTAATCATTGACCAGTCTGGTATGAGTGGCTCTGAAGGTGCAAAATAGCACCACCCAACATAGCTCAATGCATGGCTGCGGCATTCAAACCATTGAAGCACGATAAGGTACAGTCTTATTGCGATGGAGTCCATGCAAAAGTCTGTAGCTATACAGCTCATTCAAATAGTTATTTGCTCTTGAATGCGATATGCGCTGATTGCTGTTACTCATCCAAGCATCCAGCACATCATCCTCTTAGTCACCACCTTCGTTCTGTTCTAGTCGGTCCTCTAAAATTTTACTGACGACTTCATCTTCAACAGTTGTCAGAACTGAGGTGCATTCCCCATCGTTGTAAATGGTGACGAACTCTGTTGCATTGATGACTGGGATTGTACAAGCGCTAATCTCATCCACAGCCATGACGGCGTCATCTGAAAGTGCATCGGATGCCAGTCGACTGAAGCCAGCATGCCGAAAGTAACCTTTTATCGTTGCACCAGCAATCCGTCTAAATTTTTGCAATGAACTGAATTGCATCAAGCACAGAAATCTTGACGCTGACGTCCACCGCCAACGAGGAGCCAGATAACGTGTGTCTTTCTATGTGCTGTAGAATTCGGTCCACAATCTCCTTTCTATAACGGATTTTGAGCTCTATAATCACACCTCTGTCCATGTATTGAAGAATGCTGATCGTGTTTGCCGGCAAAAATTCCATTTAACTGTTTTTCAGACTTTCGACTAGTTGATGCGTTGCGCACTTATCCAAGAGTAACATAAAATTTTGGCCACTTTGGCCTAGCTCCTTGTCCCATTCGAGGGCCAACTCGGTGACAAGTTGTTTCGTTATCTGCGCATTTTTCTTAGTGTTGTAGGTTATGGGAAGTGTGTGTAGGTTCACGCCATTAACAGATCGGGGTTTCTCACTTTTCCCATTCAAAACCAACTTGATTTTATCTCTCTCTGAGGTATTCGCGCAGCACAGGTGAGTAATCCTATCCATGGCTTTTTTCGATTTGCTGAGCTTGTTAGCAGAAAAACACAAAGATCTCTCTGGAGTCACTGGGTAAAAATAACCCTTTTACTCAGCATTGTGCGAGTTGTTATTAAAAAATGCATTCAAAAATTTAGGCAGTCTACCTTTCAGCCTATTTGCACAGGCTGCTTTGTCCGCGGAACTCTTTTCGCCATGCGCACGTTTATACGACTTGATTTCTATTCTTACATCTGCAACCATCCTATCATGGCGGCAAAGGTTTCTCCAAGTCTTTCCCCGAATTCTGCCATTTTCTTCAGAAGCGGGACTGCAACTGTTTGGTTGTGTTTACAAACCGAGATCTTACATTCCTTTGTTGAAGTTTCAACTTCATCCTTTCCACATCACCTTTTCTGTGATCTTACGGTGCCATGCAACCATTTCTGCTGGTGTTTCTTTTCGCTGGCAATTAGCCTGGCTAGGATGGGACGAGAAATATGTAACTAACGCGACAAATTGGCCTGCCAGGCTTCTGGTAGATTAATTTTAATTTTGTCCAAAACTTCCAACATTTCTGTGAAGGACAAATCCTTTCTGTGACTATCCATACTTGCGCGTAACCAATAAAGTACTGACAAATGTGGAGCGGTAAGCTACCCCGACTTTGTTCAGTTCTCGAGAGTTTAATAGGACCGAGGGTTTGCCCACAGCCGTCTGTACATATAGCTTGTTCGTAGATCGAATAACGTAGGTAAGCTTTTCTGATCTGTCAATAACGCTGCTGACATCGTTGTTATTCTTGACTCGATCGGACTGGCTAGCTGTGGGGTTATCGTAATAAAAGATAGTCAGAGCGAGGGCACAAAATTGACGAAGCGACAAAAGCACAACTCACACAGCTGGGAAATTAAGCGGTGGGACGATCCCGGCAATGGGCAACTAGGCGGTGCAAACAGCACATTTATGAGAAAAGAATTTATATTTTGAAAAACTTGGGCAATAAAGCGGGTGGGCCATAAACCGGGTGGGAAATAAAGCGGATTAGACTGTATTACTAAACAACATTAAAAAGGCGTGTCGAAAAGCCGGCCATAAGTTTGAGAATTTTAGAAAATACTGGAAGCAATCCAGATGAAAATTGGCCATTAGGTATTACTTCCCACGGACGGCAGTATTGGTGTATAAAATTGCTTGTTTCATCAACCAGTATGGGCACTGTGAAGGGACTTACTGATCCATATGCTAGTACGTTTGGAAAAGGAGCCATGATCGCAGACATCGGGATCAACCCCAAGTTCTTTGACGTAACCTGTTAGAAACAAAACACAGCCTCTCATAGCACAGCCACAAATTGTATTTAGCATACCATCTGTCAAATAAAGCGCGTTTTAGTTTTAGATGTTTCGGAATACCGGTAGCTCAGGTTGCTGATTCAGTCTGCATCCAAACTCGGCCCATAGTCTTAAGCAGCACCAGCCTGCCTCACAATCCGAGCGAGTAGGTTTTAGTCTGTGTAGGTACCGGGAGACCCTCGCAGTATCACAAGCTCAGGTGCGACCGGTGGTGGTTACGCAGCAGTAAAGCGTCGCTACTGTGTACCAGCGTACTGCTGACTCCTTCTTCTTCTTCTTGCATTAAAACTAAGAAATAATCGACGGCATCCTTTGCGAGTAGTGTTAGCCAAGCAAGCAAGGAACTCTACAGGGAGCTGCGTCAGCCCAGCGTAACACACGTTTACACCAGCTTGGTCCTACTCGGTATTTTCACTTCCGATAATCTAACAAGCGCAGATAAATTTGTTGATTTTCGGCTTGTTATACCAGCGCTTGGGTCGCTTCCCACAGCATTAAGAAAATTGTCAGTGCACACAGATATGAAATCACTTTCGGTACGATTTTACCCAGGTGCAGCAAGCGAAGGATTAAGTATAATAACGACACCCGTTATCAATTCCCTGCACCTTGACACGCTTATTGGTAATTATGCCATAAGTTATAGAGTAGCACAGCTGCTGAATCGTTTGGCCATATTGTCTAAGGTAACTTTGTGTAGGGGGAGTTGAATGGTATAGGTAGAAATTCGTCACATCTAAATGCACTCAGACAGCCGTCACACGCCCGGAAAAGCACTGTACGCGCGTTTCACCCTTTCGGGAATCGTCAGCAGTGCGCATTTCATCGGACCCTGTTAGGGCTCGAACCCGCACCTCGACTGTTGCCAGTCCATGGTTGAGACCACTGAGCTACAGGGGACGGTAACGACCATAGTGAATTAGTTACTAGACGTGATACAGCGCCCCTCCCTATCCACGGACTTGCAAGTCACTACCGTGCGAAGGACAAGGTAGCTCCCTCAACAAGCGACGAGCTTACCAAACTTAAGCCGCCAATTAACCTATGGCATTATAAGCAGTTTGGTCTGCGTACTGATTACAGTGGAGTAATAGGGGGGTGTTGATTGGTATAGGTAAACATGCGTCACATCTAAACTCAAACAGACAGGCGTCACACGTCCGGAAAAGCACTGTACGTGCGTTTCATGCTTTCGGGAATCTTCAGTAGTGCGCATTCCATCGGACCGTGGTAGGACTAGAACCCGTTGCTCTCCCTGCACAGGTACGCTATGCAGTCGTTATTAGTTAGTGTTTCCAAGCAAGTATTTACGTTGTGTAGATAAGTGTAATCGGTTTGTTTAGTAAAATATTCCGTCCGTCCATTTTTGCACAACCGTTATGTAAAGAATTAAACCATACCAGTTTCATACTGCATAGTTAAATATATGATTACGACTATATTTATTAATAAACGAATTCCGTTAATGTATTAACTAAGGTTAGCGATCTCAGGCACCTTCTTTCCTGGTTGCGTTAACATGATGATTGCTTGTTGAACTTCTCCGCGCATTGGCATTATTGTGTGGAAATTACGACATCATCGTTTCATTTTTGCTTCTGAATTTTTCGATAATGAATGTTTGTGTTATCCTTGCCTAATTTCTGAGGTCTTACAACCGCCTTGTGCTGTACAATTGGTTGTCATCTTGGTCTCGGAATATTCATAATGCCTAAAGGTTGTCAGAAATCGATCAATTGCACTCACATGTGTTAGGGGTCACGTAGAATACCACCTTTCGTGCAATGGACTATCAATTGTGCATTTTCAGCGTTTTCAGGAAATCCAAAATGAGTTCGCTCAAAATTTGTGTAAGAATGGCCGAAACGAGATACAGCCGGAGTAATTAGAGCAAAATCCAAAATCGCCTTGTAGGATGTATCATTACGTTGCGAAAAGCTCCGTGTGTTTGGCTCATCAAGCCAACCCGAGGCGCTTCCGGGTTGTAAATAAGTTTTCCTGATCCTCCGGTGCAATCTCGCCGACACGGAGTCACGCGGTTGCCGACGACCTAGTTTCACCTGACAAGAATCATTTAGCTGGTTTGTGTTCCACAGGCGCAAATGTCTCGGTGTCTTAAAGCTAATGCACTGAAGACTAGTGGAAAGCGCACGAAAGAATAAAGCGGGAAAATAAAGAGTGCAACCGCTGCAAATCAACGGCAAGCCAGGTCACGAGAAGTCAGGGAAAATCCTCGCCCTAGGAGATCAAGCTTGGCTGACCAGAAACGTTTTAAGTTCATGAGGTTGCTCGCGCGTAAATCCAGTGTCACAATTCCCCAGTTAAGCTACGGTCATGACGCAGAGTAGTTACAGAGCCTAATTGACAAACTCCTTGACTTGGGTAGGTGCGGGTTGAAAGTGGGACGTATTACTCTTCTTGGAAACAAAGGTTGACAACAAAGTCAGCCAATGAAAATCACCTTTGTGTACGAAGTGAGTCCGCACCTGATCTTGTCCCCTTTAAATCACTTGATAGGTTTTGAATATCTATTTCGTCAAGACTAAGACCCAGTGGATCGAGAAAGTCTAAAGTTCACCATCATTGAGTTGAAGAGACGAAATAATGATTGGGAAACAAATCACGGTATGGTAAATTTTCGAGTGGTTTCCAAGGTTTCATGAATCAGGTTAACTTAGTTGCTCACACTTCAAGTACGCCCGGCGGTTCTTACTGAGGCCTGCGTGTTGCCTTTACCAACGTTTGCAAAGTCTTAGGAACATAAGCGCGATAAATTCTGTTCTTGATTTTATCTGAGTGGCCAGATATAATGGGACTTGCAGGGATATGGTTGAATTCCTAGATTATTGCCCAGGAAATGGAGCACAGGGCTACTCATGCTTCCGCTGCGATAGGCTATCAACTGTTCGTAGTGGCCTCTTGCTCTACAACCGTTCTTCTTTGTGTGGGAGACTCGTGAGCATCTACAGAAGCGACGATGGCTTGTGGGAGTAGCTTTGACTCTCGATCCCCTTTAGGCTCAGGGACCTCCTCGTGGGGGCATGTTATTACAATCCCGTGAGCCGGCTTTCCGGTTGACCATTGCCTTTCCGTATCCACATGAATCGTCATCATTTTCTACTCATGGGTGCTTTCGATTGTCCTCAAGTACGATGTTCTGAAGTCCTGCTCATGCGCAGACATTGCAGGGTCAAAGCAAATCCCGTGGACTTGGTATCTGAAAGTGAAGCAACAAAACAAATATGCCAGCGGATGTGTATAATACTGCGTCGTGCTCAGACTTGATGTCAGCAACCCGTGAACAGCATAATATGACATTCAAACTTTAGCAGCAAGTGAGCACTCAGTGTAGCTCACGTAGCGTGGATCTGTACCGTTTTCCGGTCCTATTGAGCCAGCTTACATCCACTGGAAAACTGTTCTCGACGACCTAACTCGAGCCGCAAGCCAATTAAATTGGTCTCTGCAGCAAGCTACATTCGTGGAAGACTGCTGGACTGTTATGGAAGAGGGGGGACATTAATGTGTTTTTGGTTTGTACTACTGAAGTATTGGAAAGTTAGACCAGTCAGAGCACATTGTTTTGACAAAGAGTATGGCAAATCGGCTTGGCGACAGTGAAAACTGTGGCGAAAGTTCCTCCTCTCCGCTTCTACAAACGAATACCTGCGTATAACCGGCAGCAAAGTATATGAAACATTGCGAAATTAGCAGGCACCGACATTGTGAAGAGAACGTCGCAACCTTCACAAAGATTGTCACGTAAGGAATCTTTGCTTACGCGAAGCAAAGCCTGAAGTCTGCAGGTAATCAACCGGTGCTAGAGGGCTCGGACGGACAGGCCATAAGCAGAAGAAATGAGCGTGTGTCCGCATTAGCGGAGCAATTCGCTTCCGTTTTGCAAATGACAAAGTGCCTGTAACAAGTTCAGCGTGCACTGCCCTTATTGAAATCGACAGTTTGGATTATGGTGTGAAACAGTTTCGTCAAGCCCTTTCCAATTTTAATGGCACCAAGCTTGCTGGGCCTGATGAGCTGCACCTCCAACTTTCGATTCCCTATTGGCCATCACCATCCTGCTGTGAGTGATTTTTTCAAGTGGTCTCTGTCCAAAGATTCGTTGCCAGTCGCTTGGAGAGTCTTGGTGATAAGGCCGATTAAAAACGTGGTCGCCCTAGTCAAGTGGACAAGTACAGGCCACTGTCTCTGACCAATTTTGGCCCAGGTTTCTGTGATCTTGAAGAATGATTCACTACAGCTGCACCAATCCAAATACTTACTGATGCCCGCACAGGACGGTTTTAAGCTAGGCTGCTCATGCATTACCAGTCCGTTAATGAGTAAGCATGAATGGTTGCAGGCAGTGAACCAGGGGAATTCTGTAGGCGTAATCTATGTCGATTTCAGTACAGCATTCGACAAGGTAAACGATGTGGTTCTCCTCCACAAGTTGGAATTGTGCGGTGTTGATGGATCACTACACTAGTGGATCCAGGACTTTTTCGTTGGACGAAGGTGTTGGGTACACGTCAACTGCCGTCTTACTGACTTGTACCCCTCTACTAGTGGCGTACCGGAAGTTACATTGTTGAAGCGCACTCTGTTATTAATACATACTACCAATCGATTGCTGCTTTTTTCATCTCTATGTGCCCTGTTTGCTGGCGACCTGAACATCTGAAGGTTGATTAGCATCCCAGATAACTTCTACTTCAGCACGACCTCAACGGCATTTTCATGCGGTCTGTAGAAGTCAGTCTGCGGATCAACCCAAGCAGATCGGTCTTCATGCGCCAAGGAAAGGGCGGTGACCGCCGAGTTTACATCACTGACGGTCGACCGCTACATCCCACATGTTCCGTGAATGACCTAGGTGCAACCTCACGCTGTGATTTGAAATCCATAAACAGTACAAACAAGCTACGTCGTAGCGAACTGAGCTTACTTTGAACGCTCAAACGTACCTTCTGTAGTTGCTCTGAAGAGGTCGCTACCGACCTCGTCTCTTCATCCTGCTAACGATACTGCAGTACGGCTCGGCCACCTACTGTTCAATCGTTCGACGCGAGGCCCAGAAGTTCGAGTTGGTCCAACACGTCGCTGCCAGGCTAACCTCGAGGTTACAAGGGTTTCCGTACGAAGACCAGTGCGAGAAACTAAGACTCTACACCTTGTCATATCGTCGGGTGCGAATCCGTCTCATCGTGACCTACAGCATTTTACATCACGGTGTTTTCCACATGTTGGGGGCACTGCTTCACTTTTGAACAGCATCCAGAACACGCGGACACCGATACAAGCTTGTGGTACATGATATAAAACGAGTTCACCACCCCTGAGCATCGAAGGTTGAGTGATAAATGTTTGGTACGGATTACCAGAACACATTATGGTGTCTGAATCTTTGCACCATTATAAAACGTTGTTAGATTTATATTTCACCACCATCGGATTCAGAGAACCATTGCACACGGGCAATGACATGCTACACATGTGAGCACAGTCAGATGTTTTTAACTGCTACATAAGAAATTGAAGAAGGATTGGAGTGCCGATCGATGGTGGTTATTTTTTTATAACATCGATTATATTCGATAGAATTGTGCAAATTTAAATTTCTACTTGCCATAACAATACAGGGTACAGTATTCAAAATCAGCACTAAGCATTTTTAACCGACTTCGATCCAATTGCATCTCACATCAAGTGAATCAGTCCACGTACATTTTATTAACACAGTAATGTAGCGAAAAGGTTCACCTCAACACTTACTGTGTTCTAGTTCGAAGGCTCGCGTAGTTTCTGTTTCATCCAGGATATTGAATACAAAACACTTGTACATATTTCTGTGGCTGCAAGATCATCAGGTAGATATTGAGAAAGGGGAAGTATCAGGTTGAAACAAATATCTACTTCAAATGTTAGTGCAAATCAGCTGCATCAGCTGCTTCAGAACTGCAAAATGGTAGGCTGATAACTGATCATGCCTAAACCACTTCCCCTTCAACAGCACACAAGGATCTCGAACTTGAGTTCGCCGATGACGAACAAGATGGGGACGATTACCAAATAAACCTCGATAGGGTATGATGGATAGTCCTTTGTGAGCTAATTATCGACCCATCTCTCTGATAAGCTGAGGCTTGGCCAGCAATCTTAAGGAATGAAGTTGCTGCATTTGAACGGAGCTATCCTCTGCTATCAAGCTGACTAACTTACTGACGCTAGTCACGTGCCCATCTTGTCGGAATGGGTTAGAAACACAACAGAGGTTTTATGGAGAGTTTTCCTATCGCGCTTAACTGTACCGTCTGTTTCCCTGTCTAACACCATGCAAGATACGACAGTGCTGAGAGCAGTGTTTGCTCGGTGGGGTACGACGTCTTAGTCCTTGTGTGACATTATAAACTAGCTCGGTACGGAAATTCAAACAACTCCCAGAACGTGCAATTACCTTGACTCATCTTTAACGTGTCGGCTCCTAAATCATACTACCCAGTTTGCTGCACACTTAAAATAGAACACTACGCACGGCATTTCGTAGAACCGACCAGGAGGCCGTTTCTATGTGTACTTGAGCAATCTCTGAGTCACAGCAATCTAACCTAATCACTCGAGCACAGGCTCGACCGACAGTGTTTGGATGCAGCGTACTCGTGTAGATTTTGCAACGAATGATATCCGCAGAACTGACAGTCACGATAGCACGTACTTCTTGCCCACGGACATCTGGGCCTAAAGCTTCCGATATGAACATTAGTTAGGGTGCATAAAGCTGTGTTAAACTTGTGCGATTTGGAGGAGAATTCGCAAATTGCCGAAAAGGTGTTATCCTTGGTTTGTTTGCCTTACTCTCAGCCAGATAAAGAACTTAACATTACGATTGAATCACTCTGGTTCTTCACTGCGTATACGTCTATTCTACTCGTTAGACGTATACCTGTTGACACGGAAGTGCGATTGGCTGACGAAGATTTTAGAGCGAGCAGCAGTCGTGAAAGCTGTCCCACAGAAACCAGACAAACCAGTGCCTCGAATAGGATGCGCAACATCAAGCTCCAATTCAGGATAGTGTAGCCAGGCCAAAAATAAGAGTAACGATCCAGAGTTAACTATCCCGACACTAGCAGCTGCGCATAACGATACGTTCGCCACACATTCTTCATCAGAACTACACGCCACATTGTACACTGTTAAAGGTCCGACAACATACTCGTTCGTTATTGCTACCGCTGTGACAGAGGCACCTCTCATCGTAACCCCCACTCACTGCCAAACTAGTTAATATTACCAATACCACAACGGGTCTCAAGACCTATCAGGAGTCCAACCGAAGAAAGCAGCCACTCGTTCCTCAAAAAGGAGCACAGGAAATAATATCATAGTCCTCTGACTGTTATATGCTCTAATGTGACTGAATCCAAAGCGAGCTCCGTAAAAGACAAGCTACCAGACGAAAAGAAACAGTAGGACACCCTGTACCAACTAATAGGGATTCCAGTTAAGCAAGTCAATATGATGCACTTCGTCCATCACGCAAACTCCGTACAATACGGTGAACCGTAGTTACTCCAGGTAACACTCCAGTCAGGTAATGATGCAGAGACAGTTCTCTTGTTAGTCACTCGCCTCTGTAGTGCCACATGCACTGTTCGAATCTCCTCAGAAATTCCTTGGAGCGAACGCCAGAAACGCAAATAAAATCTAGATGCCTTCCGTAAACAAAAAGACGAAAAATCTGTCCTTGTTCACGGTGTCCTGGAGCTCCAGACGTTAAGTGAGGTAGAGGCCAAATCACATGACTAGGATGAACTGTGTTTTATCCGTGAAATGATCTCACTCGAAAATGTTATCGCTAATTCAACATCGGTTACGGCTATTACCTAACTACATAGCGTGTGGTCCCAGAGTGATGAAAGTAACATTGCGCTCCGTACTGATGGCAGAACACGTGATCAAATTGTGGCACAAAAACCGTAAAATGCTATCATCGGAAGTGCGTATAAAGGTGATATATACCGGGCCACAGATAGACAAGGTAACACTGAGAAATCAGTTCACCTGTACACCCAAGTCACTATGAAGCTTAGAACGGAGACAGTGTCAACATACGTTGGCAGCTAAAAAGGGATAGGATAGTCACCCTCTTGTTGGCACTTAGACCTCTATACAACAACCTGAACTAGGCCTAGGGCTTGCGTGATTGGTCCTACAAAAAACGACCGACAGCCTACTCCGCAAGGCTCGTCATAGACCCCCACCGAAAATCAGCATTCACAAACACGCTTCTAACCACCGATGCCCTCACCTGATTGTATACCAACGTACGATGTCTCCTCAGTAACCTAACCGAACTTCCTATTCGTCGGGTCTTCACGCCTAGGGACCTAGTTTTATTCATCTAAACATGGCTGAACACCGAGGTCACCGAGGCTGATAATGAGCGATTAGGCATACGTTCCATGCGAAAAATCGACCTAGCATAGGAGTGTTCCTGTATTATCGATCCGACTCACATGTTGATATCATTTAGGATCCAGAAAGGTAAGTCGGCGATTCTCTTTGGTGTCCTATGCAGCTAAGACGCGGTGATGTGTGGTTACTAGCAATAGGTTACTGTCCTCCAATGTCCACCTTGGAAATGTATCAGTGACTAACTTCTGCGATGAAACGTGTCCTGGCACGACCGTACAGTCACCTCCTTCTGTTGGGGGACTTCAACATGCACGCAATCGATGTCCCAACCTTGCACAGCGAACCATTCCAAGCTGACTTGCAAAGGTTAAGTACCGATGTACCTGTGGACAACCTTATAATTCCAAAGTGATTCAGTGCAGGGGACGCACTATCTATTTTGGAGTTAGTGCTGACCAACGTGGAACTAGTGGTCGACACCGTGACCATTGATGCACCACTTGGCCGTTGCGATCACGCGATGTTATTCTCGTTATTTCTGCTACGCGTAGTACCTCAGAAAGAACAACGACCAAAACACGTCGTCACGCATTACGATATCCTGTCCGAATTCACTCAAGAAACCGACTGGTCCTTCCTAGTGGAGCAGTCTCCCGCTGTCGCGTGGATGGTGTAATCACCTGATTCATCGCGCTAGTAACAATTGCGTCGGAATGCAAGGTGTTTCGATAGAGGCAAATGCGGTCCTTCCTGATCAGCCGCACTAGAAAATGTGTGATTTTAGAGGATTCAGCTTGGCGCGCTTACAAAGCCGGTCCGAGTACTCAGAACTGGGATGCTTACACAACGCAACCAAACAACTGTCAATTTGCACTGTGAAGACAAACTCCGATACCAACAGGACTTAGCTGCGAAATTCAGTACCGATGCTAACTTGCTGTACAGACACGTCAAAAAGATTCGTAAAGTGCATCGCGGGATGCCAGTTGTACGCGCAACAGATGGTCTGGCGCAAACTACACAAGAAGCGGCCAACGCGCTTCGCCAACGTTTCATCCACACATTCCAGAGTGAATCATTATCTCATCCGTTTTTGACACAGATCCCATCCTCAACAGGGTTAAACCACTTATGGTTCATGACAGCCGATGTGATGAAAAGTCTATTGTTACTGCGCGTGCACAGCTCACCTGACTTGGGCGACATCAAACCAAAGGCATTGAAGACAGCGACCATGAACCTTGCCGAACTATTAGCTTGGTTCTTTCAATATTGTCTCGACGAAATGCAGGTTCCCACAAAGTGGGAACATGGACTATTCACTCCTATTTACAAAAGTGACAATCATGTGGACCCCTCGAAATACCATTCAATCACCCTCCTTCCAAATCTATTCAAAGTAGTGGGGGGTATAATCGCAGAGACGCTCATGCGATACCTGGAGAGCAACGCCATCCTTGTGTCCCAGCAGCACGGGTTCCGCCCAAATCGTCCTTGCACTACAAACATGCTTCTAGCCCAAGCAAGCTGGACAGAGTCAGCCGACGCCAGAGTAGGAGTCGATGTAGGTTACCTGAACTTCTCCAAAGCGTTCGATCGTTTGGACCACCGCGTTCTCTTTCACAAGCTTGGAAGCTATGGAATCGGTGACCCTGTGCTCGGTTGGATCAACAACATTAGCATTTAACCTTAGCTGAATATGGGAGTCCGCAACTCCATTGCTGACCCAAATGACATCCGGTGTGACTTGCTGCACAGGTCGGTACTGGAGTCAGGTTGATTCCCTGTATTCAGTAACGATCTTGCCAATGTACTACGGTCGAATTTTTTATTATTTACATTTGATGTTAAAATCTGGCATGATGTCAAGACAGCGGATTATCACATACCATGGCAAAAGCCGTCTCCACAGGGTTTATACGTGGTCATCTGAAAACCGGCTCCAGTTTAACTGGACGAAATGCAAAATTCTGAGCATGCTCCAGTAGCTTGCCAGCGAATCTCAACTTGCGTCCCAGCTGCTGCAACGTGCTTCCGAGGAATGCAACCTCGGAGTGATCGTGCAAGAGAATCTTAGTTGCGCGTGACAGACTGCATAGGCATTGGAAAAATACAGTAAATAACTTGGACTCTTATGGAGAGCTTTCTGTAATTTCAAGCCATCAATCTTTAGGCAAGTGCTGAACGCCTACGTGAGGCGTCACGTGGAATATGCGATCAAGTCCTGGCGTCCCTGGTGCAAGCGCGATGTTGATGCACTTGAAGCTCCACAAAGTTAAGTAACTAAACTCGTTATAGCATTGTTTCATTTCCCCCATCAGCGCAGACTGCAGTCCCTGAGATTGTACAGTGGTAAATCTCGCTTTCAGCTAGGAGACCTCATCATGGTTTAACTAATAATGACGAACCTAAGTCATCCGTATCGCAATCTGTTGCA